TCTTAACGACCGTTGCAGCATCCACCATGATCAAAAATTCAGACCTTTGGAAACTGGCATGTACTTACGACGGTTTCAGTATCCCAGAGATGTGTGTGTGAGAGAGAGAGAGACAGGATCTCTTTTTGCGACCATTTGACGAGCAAAATCAATGGGGAAGACGGATTCGCTTAGCGACCAGGTTCCTCACTGAACTGCAGTGGTTCCCACAACAACGGCGGCAAGGAATGTAATATGGGGCCAAAACTCACTTCACAAAAGCAAATCACAGCAAATTGTTAATCAGGCAGTCATTAAGTGAATCTGGCCTCCCTCATTGACTTTGCTTGCCCGAAGCCACCTGGGACAGTCACAAAGGAAGACCCCCGTCATAAATACAACCCCCCCCAGCACCTACATTTCGATCCCGCGACTGTAAGGATGCCATCACGGTCGTAAGCGCGAGGAACGTCCGTAACTTGGAGCAGTTGCTAAAGGTTTGGTTGTAAAATGGAGGATTATCGGTACCGACCTCAAATCAGAATAAAGAATCCTAATTTCTCTCTATATGAAAGCAAAATGCCACTCACACATTATAATATAGTAGAATAGAATAACCTTTCCACATAGTATATCTATATATATACATATATAAAAAGGGAAATGCCCCTCACGCATCATCACAAAATCTCCAGAACCGTAAAGCCTACAAACTTGAAATTGGGCCCGTATGTTCCTCTCGGCTTTTAGGGGCTCCCTAAGAAAGGATTTTTCCAAATGACCCTCAGAGCATTTAGAGTATTTCCTATATTATTATTAACAGGCTCTGATTCCAAGGAGTTCTAATCCCCACCTGGAAAGAAATCTTTTCCAAAGGCAAAACACAAGCAGAGGAACGGAGTTTCAGTCTCAATTTCAGAGCCCCAAGCAGCTTTAAGACAGAACAGTTGAGCTAAGCCACGCCCAGGCTCCTTGCTGTCGTCTCCTTACTCACACAGCAAATACTCTTTCAGTTTCCAAACAGCCCTCGACTCTCACATCCTGACAGGACACTAGCCAGATGAATACTGGTGGATGCTGGTAGGCAGAGGCAGAATTTCCCACCCACCCCTTATTTTCCTCCCCCCAAAACTAAGCCCCTCACGCATCATCACAAAATCTCCAGAACCATAAAGTCTACAAACTTGAAATTTGGCAAGTCTGTTCCTCTTGCGTTCTAGGTACTCACTAAGAAAGGATTTTTCAAAATGGCCCTCAGAACATTAGCATTTCCTATATTATTATTATTATTATTATTATTATTATTATTATTATTATTATTATTATTATTATTATCATCAACATGCTCTGATGCTAAGAAGTTCTACTCCCCACCTGAAAAGGAATCTCTTCCAAAGGCAAAACACAAGTGGAGGAGTTTCACTTTCACTTTCAGAGCAACAAGCAGCTTTAGTACAGAACAGTTGACTTAAGCCACGCCCAGGCTCCTTGCTGTCTCCTTGCTCACCCAGCAACTACTCTTTCAGTTTCCAAACAGCCCTCCACTCTCTCCCACACTGACAGGATGCTAGCCAGATGAATGCCGATGGATGCTGGTAGGCAGAGGCAGAATTCTTCTCCCCTTATTTTCCTCCCCCAAAACTAAGCCCGACCACAGAGTTTCGTAGCGAAGCACGGGGATCGAGCTAGTTACTTATAAATAATAAACTGACATGGTGAAAGATCGCTAGGGAAAAGAGACCACCCACAGATACCCAGTCTGCCATGATCATCAGATCTTCAAGGGTGGGTAAGAAACATCATGCTTGTCCTATCCTTGTGCACACGCGTGTGTGAGATCACCACAACCCTTGGACGCCTGGAAGTGAAGGTAGTTAGTTGTATGTCCCAGGTAATTGTCCAAAGAATTGAGCCTCGGCAAGCTGGCTGCCTGGTTGGAGAACAGCCTCCAATTTTATCAGCTCCACAGGATCTTCACATCAGCAGAGATTTATTTATTTTTATTTATTTTATTTTGTCAAGCAATTATAAGATAACAGGTATAAATATCGACATAGTTATGAATACATGAAATGGATACAAATAAGAAAAATAAAAGAAACAATAGGCACGTTGGTGCGCTTATGCACGCCCCCTACAGGCCTCTTAGGAAAGGGGTGAGGTCAAGAGTAGACAGTCTGAGGTTAAAGTTTTGGGGTTTGGGGAAGAAACCACAGAGTCAGGTAGAGGATTCCAGGCACTGACCACTCTGTTGCTGAAATCAAGTTTGGTGCAGTTTACCTTGAGTTTGTATCTATTGTGTGCTCTTGTGTTGTTGTGGTTGAAGCTGAAGTACTCATTGACAGGCAGGATACTGCAATGTATGATTTTATATACCATACTTAGATCAGACCGAATACGGCGTAATTCAAGGTTTTCTAGGTCAAGAATTTCGAGTCTGGTGGTGGCATAAGGTCTTCTACAACGAGTAGAGGAGTGGAGAACTCTTCTTGTGAAATATTTCTGGACTTTCTCAATTGTG